GAACCTCCACCTTCAGGTGCATTTTCTGATCTATCCCCATCTCCAGTCCAGGTCTCTCTGTCCTGCTGGAACATTTCTTCTCCCTCAGCCCCGTGGATCCACCCAYGATCCCATTCCCAGCCCCATCCACCCCAAGCACCCTGGAAAATTTATTTCACCCTTTCTTCAGCATTCAGCACTCTCAGGGTTTGGCTCATTTGGGTCAAAATTCATTCCCTGTGAACCCAGAGCCCGGCAAGACTTACAAAGAGACCTGAGTTTCATCTGCCTCCATTTCGTCCAGGATTGCTCAGTAACAAAGGAGAAACCCCAAGGTCATTTTGAAGTTGGGTTTTTTATTTATTACACATTTATCTCAATGAGATAACAAATCACATGTTGTTTCTCAAGACACATTTTACTAAGGTATTTAATTAATTATTAATTCAATTAATTATTTAATTAAGGAATGATCAGCTCTTGGGCTTTGTTCTCCCATAGGGCTTCCTGCATCATCTCAAACCTTTCCCCAGCTCCAGGAATTTCTCCATCCCTGACCCTGGCACGGAGCCCCTCTCTGGGTTCCCAGGGCAGGAATGGCTCCAGTACCTCCCTCCTGATACCCCTCAAGCTCCCACTGATGCCTTGTTCACCCCCCAGCACCCACAAATCCGGTCAAATCCTGAATCCTGTATTTGGGAAATGCTCCAGAGCTGTCCCACCTCCTGCCCAAGGGTGACACCAGCAGCTCCTGCTCCMAGAAACATTTGTTAACCAATTAATAAAATAACTTCTTGCTTTTCAGTGAGGTTTGGGTGCTGCTGGGGGAGTTTGGGAAGGGAAATAAAGGGAAACACTGACCAGTGACCTCTCTGGGCTCTGTGTCTCTGCAGCCACGCGAGAATCCGCCTTTGTCCACGCCATCGCCTCGGCCGGGGTGGCCTTTGCTGTCACCCGCTCCTGCGCCGAGGGCACCTCCACCATCTGTGGCTGCGACTCCCACCACAAGGGACCCCCGGGGGACGGCTGGAAATGGGGAGGGTGCAGCGAGGACGCCGACTTTGGCGTGCTGGTGTCGCGGGAGTTCGCGGACGCGCGGGAGAACCGGCCGGACGCGCGCTCGGCCATGAACAGGCACAACAACGAGGCCGGCCGGACGGTGAGTGACCCATGGGGACAGGCTGGGGTCCAGTCCTGCAGGGATGGCCCAGTGAGGCTCCCCCTGATGGAGCAGGAYGCAGGAATTCCCAGGGCTGCTTTCTGGGATTATTTCCCAGGGCACGGCATTTCTTCTCCCTCCAAACAGACAGGTGGGGTTAAGAAGAGCTAAAACGTGTCCTGATTCCAGGGCAAACAGAATCCCAGAACGGTTTGGGTTGGGAGGGACCTTAAAGACYATCCCTGCCATGGGCAGGATATTTCCCACTGTCCCAGGGTGCTCCAAGCCTGGCTTTGGACACTTCCAKGGATCCAGGGACAGCCACAGCTGCTCTGGGCTTTTCCAAGACCAGGAAGCCTTAAAGCTTTTTTTATACTGTGGTGCCCAAACTGCCCCCAGAACTGGAGGTGAGGATGTCCAGCCCGAGCTCAGATCAGCCATTTACCCCCGGGGAGGTGACAGGAAGCCAACCCCGGGCTCCCCCACTGCCCTGACCCCACTTTCCCCCTGCCAGACCATCCTGGACCACATGCACCTCAAGTGCAAGTGCCACGGGCTCTCGGGGAGCTGCGAGGTCAAGACGTGCTGGTGGGCCCAGCCCGATTTCCGRGCCATCGGGGACTACCTGAAGGACAAATACGACAGCGCCTCGGAGATGGTGGTGGAGAAGCACCGCGAGTCCCGCGGCTGGGTGGAAACCCTCAGGGCCAAGTACGCGCTCTTCAAGCCGCCCACGGAGCGGGACCTGGTGTACTACGAGAACTCGCCCAATTTCTGCGAGCCCAACCCGGAGACGGGCTCCTTCGGGACCAGGGACAGGACGTGCAATGTCACCTCGCACGGCATCGACGGCTGTGACCTGCTGTGCTGCGGGCGCGGCCACAACACGCGGACTGAGAGGCGCAAGGAGAAGTGTCACTGCATCTTCCACTGGTGCTGCTACGTCAGCTGCCAGGAGTGCACGCGGGTCTACGATGTCCACACCTGCAAGTGAGGGACAGTTGGGTCCCCGCCAGCCCAGGGGGTCTGGGACAGGGCCCGGGGTGGGTCCAGCCCCGCAGGTGGGCTCGCCCCGCAGAGGATGGCACCGGGCTCTGGATGGCCCTGGACAGGGCAGCCTCAGGCAGGGCTCACAGCGGGACAGATCTGGGTGCCTGACCCACGCCAGGTGTGACTGCTGGTCCCTTGGGCAGGGTGGGCTGGCTGGGGACAGCAGGGAGTGGACAGGGAGAGCAGGGACAGGACAGGGACACCGGGGACAGGACAGGGCAGGGTGGGGAGGGCAGGAACAGGACAGGACAGCAGGGACAGGACAGGACAGCAGGGACAGGACAGGACAGCAGGGACAGGACAGGACAGCAGGGACAGAACAGGAACAGCAGGGACAGGACAGGAATAGCAGGGACAGGACAGGACAGCAGGGACAGGACAAGACAGCAGGGATAGGACAGGACAGCAGGGCCAGGACAGGAACAGCAGGGACAGGACAAGACAGCAGGGACAGGACAGGCTCTCCAGGGAGGACAGCAACAGGACACTGCCCATAGAGAGCAGGGACAGGAGAGGTGAGGCAGCCCAGGACAGCAGGGACAGGACACAGCCCAGCACAGCAGGGACAGGACACTGCCCAGGACAACAGGGACAGGACACAGCCCAGGACAGCATGGACAGGACACTGCCCATAGAGATCAGGAACAGGAGGGGAGAGGCAGCCCAGAACAGCAGGGACAGGAAAGGGATGCCCATGGAGCTCAAGGGACAGGACACTGCCCAGCACAGCAGGGACAGGACACTGCCCAGTTCAGCAGGGACAGGACAGGGACAGCACAGACAGGACAGGGACAGCAAGGACAGCAGGGACAGGACAGGGATGCCCATGGAGGTCAAGGGACAGGACACAGCCCAGGACAGCACGGACAGGACACTGTCCAGGATAGCCGGGTCCCAGGCAGGCCCAGGCACTGATTTGGAGCTGCTGGCACAGCCCCCACCCAAAGCTGCCAGCCCTGCCCAGCCCCTGCAGACCCCGGCACGGGCAGGGGTCAGGTGGGAATGGATTTTCCCAGCAGAAGCACAGAAATCACGGGCTCCCCCAGCCCTGTCCAGCAGCTGTGGGGGGAGCAGGAGAGGAGCCCCAACACCAGCCCAGCTCCCTCCCTCCTGCTCCGAGGGGGTGCTGAGAGCCAAACCCGTCTGAGCCCTGAACAGACCCCATGAGCAGCCTCTCCTTCCCTCTGCTCTGCCTTCTCTGCTCCCCACAGCCCCACGTGTCCTGTGATGGCCCCRGGAGGGTGTCAGGAAGCCAGAGCCCAGAGCTGACCCTCTGCCACCTCACCAGGGCACAGGGCACTGCTGCCACCCCTTACAGGGCACRGGGCACRGCCCCAGCCACCCCAGTGTGCAGCTGCCAGGRGAGGATTTTACAGATGGGGCAGATCCACCCAATGCACCTATTGACACCAAGCATTCCCTAAGCATTCCCATCCCAGAGGGAGCTCAGGGATCTCTCTGGGGACAGCTGACCCTCCAGGTGAGCTGCTGCACCAGCTCTGAACATTCCAGGGAGAGAGGGAATCTCCGTCCCAGCCTCCTCATCAGCCTTTCCAGCAGACAAAATCCCACAGCACAATCCCGGGCAGAGCCTTCCCCTCCCGTGGGTTCACTGAGCTGTCAGCARTTGTCCAGGAACCCCCAGGCACGGAGGCTCTGAGCAGGGATTTGGCCCCCTAGTACAGCAGAAGCGGTGTTTGTCCCCCCCGGTCACCTCCCCCTCCCCGAGCACATCCCCTGTCCCTGGGGTTACCTTGTCCAGGGCTACTGACCCGTGAAATTCAAAAATAAACATTCCCCGTGTCCTGGTGGGCTGCAGGACCAACAGCCACGTTCAAACCCCAACTCCAGGCACTCGTGGCCGCTATCCCGTGGCTCCTGTGCCCCGGAGCTGCACAGAGCAATAACGGGGGACACCCTCGCACGGAGCTCGGGAGAGCAGAGCCCCTCCTGTGCACAGCATCAGGACGAGCCCCAGACCCTCCTTTGGAGGAGTTTCACTTCCCAAAATTAAAAATCCTCCCCCAGCCGCAGCCACACTGTTCCTCTGATATGCATCTATTTAAAATATATATTAAATTCCACTGGAAAGACTCCCAGTACCCGACTTTAAAACAAAATCCCTTCTTTGTTTGTTTGTGTTTTTTTAATCAAGAAAAGGTATTTAATATTAAATAGAACATTTATTGCCTTGTAATTATTTTACTGTAGCCAGGTATTCTAGCACTGAATGGAAGATCTTTTTTCCATCAATCTGCTGTATCCAAAGTTTTGTATAAAGTTGTAGAGGTCGATTTTTTTTTATTTTATATTCAGAAAATTTCTCTTTTTATAAGCATTATTTATTATACAATGTATATACTTGAGTTAACTAAGATTATATATTATATAAATATATATATTTGGAGAAAAATATATTTCAACTTCCATTTTTTTTTGTGGTACGTCATTAAAGAGAAGGTCAAAATGAACAAAATGMGCACTTGGCAAATTGTGTGGTTTGGCTCTGAGGGTCCTGCTGAGTGGTGGGTCATGATCCAGGGGTTTATGGGCAGATAATCATGGAATTATGGAATTTCAGAGTGGTTTGGGTTGGAAGRGACCTTAAAGGTCTCAGTTCCAACCCCCTGGCATGGGCAGGGGTAGCTGTGACAGGAATCGAGACAATGATAGCAAAAAGAGGAGATTTTACAGCTGAATGCTGAGATTTGGGAGTGCCAGGGCACTGAATGGAGATTCAGGATGGAATCGTGGAGCTTTTGGGGCTGGAGAAGCCCTTTAGGATCACTGAGTCCAACCATCCCCGCACTGCCAGGGCCACCACTGACCCCTGTCCCCAAGGCCACATCCCCAGGGCTTTAAATCCCTGCAGGGATGGCGACTCCAGCCCTGCCCTGGGCAGCTGKGCCAGGGCTGGACAACCCTTCCCATGAAGACATTTTCCCCAAAATCCAACCTAAAACTCCTCTGGCMCAGCYGGAGCCRTTCCCTCTCCTCCTGTCCCTGTTCCCTGGGGGCAGAACCCAACCCTCCCCTGGCTGCCCCCTCCTGTCCCAGAATTGTGGATTAAATTAATTACATTAATATTCATCAAAGCAGGTTTTGGACTTGGTGCCCTCCCCACCTGCACTCACACGCTCTCCCTGGCTTTGGACAGACCAAATTCCAAATTTCCTCCTGTAATAACGTCTCCTCCCATCCATGAATAATTCTGTCCATCTCATTTCTGCAGCATCAGCAGTGGTTTTAAGTGCACACGATTTTCCACTGCTCTGGCCTCAAATACTCCTGTCTGAAGGGAAGAAGGAAATATAAAACCACTCAGTATTCTTGTCCTGATGCCCAATTCACACACAAAGCCATCCACGGGCATGGACAGGGCATCTCTCCCACCATCACCAGGCACTGCAACCACTGGCACATCCCAGAAAAACAGAGAACCCCAATATYTGACCCGTGGAAGGTTCTGGGCTCCACAGCTCCATGGGTGAAGCTCTCTCTGCCCACCTGCCCCAAACCTTCCTCCACCCCACACTGTCCCCCCAAAACCCATCCCAGCACTTTCAAATCTGTCTCTGGTCARCAGCTCCAATTCAGACACATTTCTGAGAGGTTCAAGATGAAACGGGGTAAAGAAGGGCTGAAGAATGAATATTGTGATAAATAATATTTATATTTTATGTTTAAAGCCACTCTGCCTGGAGAACAGCCAGGTGTGGGAAGGTGCTGCCCTCCCCTTGTGCCASCTGCAGGAGCCCCCGAGGATGGAGATCTTGGAGCAGGCACTGCAGTGATTGGGATGTCCCAGCCAGGGTTTTCCAGCCCTCCCCAGGTGTGTGACACCCCCAGCTCACACTCACACAGGTGGGTGCACCCATGGGACCCCCTCAGCACTGCAGAGCTCCAGAACGGGCTGGACCAGAGCCCTCTCAGTGATTTCTTCAGGACTACAAGGGGCCAAACTCTCCAGGCTGGGGTAAATTCAATCCATCCACGCTCTGCTYCTCACACACACACACACACAGACAGCACCCAGCTCATCACAAGGAGTTGTGCTTTTTATTGAATCCATCGAATGTGCAATTAAACCAGATATTTATTCATCAATATAGTTCTGGACACAGACACGATAAGGTTTTACATCATTTGCTCTGAAATATAAGTTACTGTGTGCTGCTGTCGCTCGGACTGGCAGAGGGGAAGGGGAGGAACAAATAAATTCACAAGATCCTACACRAAATGAGAGGGAACCACCACTGGGACTCACAACAGCATCACAACACACCAGCACTGCCAGAGGAACGGAGAGGAGTGGCTGAAGCACTCCAGCTGCTGTGAGCACACACTGGGGACACCAGCACAGCCACCAGGGCCGGGAAGGACATGGGACACCCTCCTTCCCTGGGGACAGCCCTCACAGCGGGGCTGGCACGCTGAGGAAGCTACTCTGACCAAAATCTGCTAAATGGCTTTGATCTGATGCCCCAGCACACTGAGGTATGTCCCAGGAACCTCGGGGAAGGAGCAGCCAGGGCCAGCATCTCCCTGAGGTGGGAAGGACCGTGGAGCAAGGTTGGATACATTCCTTAATTTCAGTGCAAAAACACGGCAACACACGTCTCGTGCACCTGCAGAGCTCGGCCTCCTCCCTGTCTCTAAGGAGGGATTTCAACCTTTGGTAACGTGGCAGAGAAAAAGGGAGAAAATGAGGCTGGAGGATGCCAAAGCTGCTGACTACAGGAACTCAGGAAGAGCTGGAGGCTGGAACCAGCATCTCTAAAACTGCTGTTGAACTAACAACAAGCTTTAAATACTGGATTTGGGAATTTCCTCTGCTCTGATCAACACTTCCCTGCCCTCCTGCAGTGCYCAGTGCCACCAGCAGTGTCTCATCAGAATCCCTGGGTACAAATAAAGCGCGTGCAGCATCACTGCTGGAGCTGGGCTGGCGTGGGCACTGCCTGTGGGGTCYGGCTCAGAGCTCCATCAGGGGTGGGATGAGCACAGGAAAGCATTCAGCTGGCCAGGACTGGACAGAGCAGAGCTTCCATCTSCCTCCACCAACCAGGCTGGCAGGTTTTTGGGAAGCCAGGATGCGTTTCCCTGCTCACACTGGCAGGTTTTTGGGAAGCCAGGATCTGTTTCCCTGTTTAGACTGGCAGCCTTTTGGGAAGCCAGGATCCATTTCCATGCTCAGACTGGCAGGTTTTTGGGAAGCCAGGATCCATTACCCCAATCAGACAGGCAGGTTTTTTGGGAAGCCAGGATGCGTTTCCCTGCTCACACTGGCAGGTTTTTGGGAAGCCAGGATCCATTACCCCAATCAGACAGGCAGGTTTTTTGGGAAGCCAGGATGCGTTTCCCTGCTCAAACTGGCAGGTTTTTGGGAAGCCAGGATCCATTTTCCTGCTCAGACTGGCAGGTTTTTGGGAAGCCAGGATCCATTTCCCTTATCAGACTGGCAGCCTTTTGGGAAGCCAGGATCCATTTCCATGCTCAGACTGGTCAGTTTTTGGGAAGCCAGGATTCGTTTCCCTTATCAGGCTGCCAGGTTTTTGGGAAGCCAGGATGCGTTTCCCTGCTCAGACAGGCAGGTTTTTGGGAAGCCAGGATCCATTTCCCCAATCAGACAGGCAGGTTTTTGGGAAGCCAGGATCCATTTTCCTGCTCAGACTGGTAAGTTTTTGGGAAGGCAGGATGCGTTTCCCTGCTCACACTGGCAGGTTTTTGGGAAGCCAGGATGCGTTTCCCTGCTCACACTGGAAGGTTTTTGGGAAGCCAGGATCCATTTCCCACCCCAGGAACGCTGCACACGAGCGAGGCTCAGCCCCACAGCGCAGCCGGGCTGCACAGACAGAAGCACAGTGTTGTAGGAGACACTTCCACACGACATCAGAATACTGAAGACAGAGAATAAAGGTACTGGATTGCACTACACATGCAGGTTCCACGGGGAACGGGGAGCGTTTCGCTTTGTCCAGTGTGTGGAGCACAGAAGAGCAAAGATCCCAGTGTTTGTTCTCCAGGTTGGTCGCTTTTCCAGCTGCCGGTCTCGCGCTTGGTCCGCCTTCAGTCGAGGGTGGGGACTCTTGCAAAAGAAGCCAAATCCATCAGGAAAGCATCATGCACACGGTAAAAGCATCAAGCACACACTGGGACCGCTCACACAGAGCCAGGGTAGAGTGGAGGGAGTTTTCCCAGCACGGGTASTGCCCTACAGGTTTTACAAAGTCATTCTCTAGGAGATGCCACTGTCCCACTGGGYTCAACTACTCCCTGTGGCACCTATGGGGAAAGAGTAGGACATCCTTCTCTCAGACAGGAGGCACAAAAAAACCAAAATCCCCCATTTTAGATCAATAGCTGGATCTTAACTCGATCAGAATTTTTCATTCAGTTAAAGAAAGGTGAATTGTGCCCAATATCTCATGGACATTTTTTCTCTCAGACAGGAGGCACAAGAAACTGAAATCCCCCATTTTAGAGAAACAGCTGAATTTTAACTCGAGCAGAATTTTTCATTCAGTCAAAGAAAGGTGAATTGTGCCCAGTACCTCATGGACATTTTTTCTCTCAGACAGGAGGCACAAGAAACCAAAATCCCCCATTTTAGATAAACAGCTGGATTTTAACTCAAGCAGAATTTTTTATTTCTTTCAGTTAAAGAAAGGTGAATGTGGACCAGTATCTCATGTACACTTTAAAGTCAAGGATAAGTTTAGAAAAGCAGAGAATTCAGGCATGCAACTTCCCAAACTTCCAGGACCTCCCCCCTTCCTCCCAAATTCCTGATCTGATCCAGCTCTGACAATCCAGAGGGGTCAGCAATGAGAGCAGGCACACCCCACTGCAGGTTCCCCTCAGAGAAGCTCTTTTCTGAGCAGAAAAGAGAATTTAAACACTGCTTTAAAATAAAAGTACTTACGTTCCTTCTTCTCTCAGGAGAGCCAAAAACTTTTTCACCCGATACTCAGGATCCATCTAAACACCAAACAAACAGATCCCCATCAGTGCAACCCTCCAAGAAGCCCAAAAGGAAAGAAGAGAATCATGGAATATCCTGAGATGGACCCAAGGATCATGGAATATCCTGAGATGGACCCAAGAATCATGGAGTCCAACTCCTACCCTGCTGGGGGTGCAGGCTTTGACAGTGAAAATTTGTTTGCTTTGGTGAACAAAAAAACCCCTGGGTAAATACGGAACTTGGGGGCTCTTGAACTCTTCCATCACATTTTACATCCCTAAAGGAAAATTTCTTCCCATTCCAGATGTGCAGAAGCCATCTATTGAAAAGTCTGGCTGCTGCAGTGGAGGGAATGCCTTCAAAAAGAGCTTAGAAGAAAAAGAAATCCTAAACCAACAACAGTGGGGGAGAGAGCGCCAGTGAGAATTTCTGCTTTGTGCTAAGAAAAGCCTAAAAATGTAAAACTCCCCATGGCTGTGAGATAGGAGAGCAAGGCACCAACTGCTGAGCTACTTTTAGAACAGAAAAATAAATTCACTGAAATGAGAGGATTTAAAGGAACTCAGTGAGGCTCGCTGAGCATTTCTTTGAGGGTTTGGGCAGCAAAGAACCCTGGCAATAGTCAGGGTCCAGGATCAGAAGAAAGGTGAACCCCCTAAGACAGAGGTTGGAATGTGAAATATTCCTGAGAAGGACTTTGTGAATCTCCAGGCCAGAGAAGGAGATCCTCACCAAGTTGTGACAAACCCTCAGTGCTCCTAAAAACCTGCCAGGAACCCCAAACCCTCAGCATGTCCAGCTACAGGGTCTGGTTTCAAATACACAGGCAACATCATAGGAAGAGCTCTCAAAATAAGCTCCCATAAAAGTTAAGWTACATTAAAGACAAGCAGCTTAGATTGTGTTTTGTTTACACTGATGAAGTTTTATTTATGCTAAACAGAAGTTACCAAATCAGGAAAAGTCTGGAGGTGCCAGAGGGGTTTTGTGGAACGCTGCCTGGCTCAGCCAGGCTCCTGCTCCAAGGAGGAGAGAGACTTGGGCTTTGGCAGTGCTGTCAGCAAGGTCCAAAAGCAGCAGGGCAGGCAGGGAGAGGAAGCAGGAGGAAGCAGCCCCCAGCCATGGAAAAGTGTCTAAGGTTCCATGGAAAGTGTAACCAGGASTCTGTATTCTATCACCATCTCCMTGAGCCMTTAAACCAGGTGGGGGAGAGCTCTTTATCCTCAGCATGACCCAGCCCTGATAACACCCTCRGGGGGCCATTTCTGCTCATGGGCCATYGARGGCTCTGGGAATGACCCATGGAATTCCATCATCCCATTGGGAGATGCCCTRCCCAGARAGGAGGAACTGGACATCCCTACYGGCATATAAACTGAGGCTCTGGGACRCTTGGACACCACTTCCACTGGATTCCAGAGGAGAGGAGCTCTAGAACYCCCACTSGACCACCAGAGACAGACTCAACCTGTCCTCAGGATCACCACTTTGAGAACACCACATCCATCACTCCAACGGGACTGCAGCCACCATCTAACATTAAACCTTCACCACTTTGAGAAGACCATAACCATCACTCCAACGGGACTGCAATCACCATTTAATATTGAACCTTCACCACTTTGAGAAGACCATAACCATCACTCCAACGGGACTGCAGCCACCATCTAACATTAACCTTCACCACTTTGAGAAGACCATAACCATCACTCAAACGGGACTGCAGCTACAAGCCTGTTCAACAGGGTGTCAGGTGGTAATCTGACTTTGTCAGTCTAAGCTGTTGTTTCTGTATTATTGCCTTTATTTTAATTTTTCCTATTAAACTGTAGCTCTGACTGAGATTCTCTTGCAACGTATTTGTGTGGGGATAATTACCCTGCTGGTTTAGTTCTCAAACTAGCACAAAAAGGAAGGCTCAGGGATGCAGCAGCACCCAGGGCTGGGTGAAGGCAGAGGTGGCCCAGTACTGCWGCCAAGGGCACTGCAAACACTTGTGGAGCCACATGGCAAATCCTGAGCACATCCACGGATCAGTGGCTTCGTCTGGACAAGAACAGAATCATTCCAGGATGCTCAGTGTGCACAGATGACCGAAGTTTGTGACACAAACCTGAGCAGATGGATATTAAGAGGCCAGGAACAGCAGTGAACAGAGTTTGGGGGAAATTAGGCTGCCACAAAAGGTGGGGTTACAAAACTCAGAAACAATGTGAGAAATCACCCAGGGCAGCAGGGCAGTTCAGGTGCCCCAGRAAAGGATTTTGATATTGAGGGGCTGGGTCAGGGTGACTTTAGCCTGAAACACACGGGAAGTGTTTAACCAGCTCAGGAATCCCTGCAGAGAGCAGAGAGTGGGATCACCAYTCTAACAAAACCAAACCCACCCTTAGATTCAGAGGAAGACACCATGGGCACATTTTTTACACAGAATTCATTCACTTGGCAACTGACAGCTGAGCTCTTTGAGAAATTTCATCCTTCACTTGGAATTCTCAAGTGATTTCAGACTGAATCTCCTTCTGAAAAGCTGTGGTGCAACCCATTGAAACAAGACCCAGTGCTGAGCTCCTYATCTGGTGAATTGTGGCTTCCTGTGAGAGCCTGGCAGGTTCCAGCTCCCTGTGGGTTCCAGCRCACCCAGATCCCAGCTCTGCCCTCCTGTATTTATAGCAGCTCAGCAGATGGAGTCGTGGAAACACCTCAGACCTTCTGGGACAGAGCTGGTTCTGATTTAGCTGCCATATGCTGCTCACTCTATTACACAACCACCTGCACCCAGGGATGCAGAGGAGCCACCCTGCTGCCAACAGGCAGCAAAGGGACACCCGCAGTGGCTTCAGGGACAGTGGCAGCAGTGCATGGGCAGTGKGGCAGGAAGGGCACAGTCCCAGCTCTCCCAGCCCGCTGCTCCTGGACTCACCTACACAACACCACAGGTGTTTTCTGTGTTTTCTGTGTTTGCTACTGGAAAAAAAATGAACTCCCCAAAGCAGTTTGCCTGCCCAGCCCCGGAGAGGGTGAGGACTCTGTGGCAGTAGTGCCACTGCTCACCAAATCCCGGAGTACCCTGAGTGGGAAGGGACCCACAGGATCATCCAATGCCACCCCTGGCCCTGCTCAGACACCCCAATAACTCCACCCTGAGCACCCCTGGCAGCGCTGTCCAAATGCTCCTGGAGCTCCTCGGGGTTGGGACCATTCCCTGGGGAGCCTGGGCAGTGCCARCACCCTCTGGGGACAGAAGAACCTTTCCCTGATCCCCATCCCAAATCTCCCTGGCACAGCTCCAGCCCTTCCCCAGGTCCTGTCCCTGTCCTGGGAGCAGAGATCAGAGCCGTCCTCGGGAGGAGCTGCAGCCCCCCTGAGCTCTGCCCTCAGCCTCCTCTGCTCCAGCTGAGCCTGTGCCCTCAGCTGCTCCTCCTATGGCTTCACCTCCTCACCTTCACCATGCTCAGGTCCTTCTTTGGACACTCTCTAATTTCTTCCTGTCCCTGAGACATTGTGGTGCTCAAGGAGTGGAACAGGCATGGGGAGCAGGACTGGGGGCAGCATTCCCACCCGTCTCCCAGCTCAGAACTGGCCATGATTTACAGAATCTCCACCTTTAGCTTTGAAAACAGCCAGAACTTTAGGGGAAAACTTTGAAAACAGCCAGAACTTTAGGGGAAAACTCTGAAAACAGCCACAACTTTAAGGGAGAACTTTGAAAACAGCCAGAACTTTGGGGGAAAGCTTTGAAAACAGCCGGAATTTTGGGGAAGAGATTTGAAAACAGCCAGAACTTTGGGGGAAAGCCTTGAAAACAGCCAGAATTTTGGGGAAAGCTTTGAAAACAGCCAGAATTTTGGGGGAAAGGCTTTGAAAACAGCCAGAACTTCAGGGGAACATGTCCTGTGACAGAAGAAGGGAGCCATTGTCAGGGTTCGGGGAAGGGCAGCACGGCAAAGCCCGAAGGCCGGCACCCCTCAAACACATTTAACACACRAGAGCAGTGACTTACTGACTTGCCTGTAGCTATGGAATTAAAAGCCAAGGAAGAAGAGGAAAAAGTAATCTAGATAAATGACTTTATTCCCTGAGGTGACATGCAGTCAGAGCACAGCGTCAGCGCCGAGCAAGTTTTAACAGAATCGCGGCGAGCGAGCGGAGGGCTGCACGACTCGTGCGCTCCCCACTGCAAGTCTCTTCACTTCTGCCCTGCCTCTGCGAGCAAGATCTGAGGACAGCTCACTCAGCTGCACTAAATCCATTTGATGTGAGCACAGGGGGGCTGGGATGTCAGGGGAGGATTAGGGCTGCACCCTCAGCCCGTGTCAGCATGAGCATGAGCTTGCTGGCTGGCTCCAGGCATGGGTGCTGCTGYGGGGGAGGGCTGCGAGCTGCATAGTTCTACCCTCTGCAATTATTTTCTTTAAAGTGCTGAAAGTGGAAAATCAAGAGGAGAGCAGCTGAACAGCCTGACAGATTTATCTTCTTCAGGGAAAGAGCACATACACCTGCACAGGCACCTTCTTCTTTCATAAAAAAAACCAAAAAAATCCCGAGGTGATTGCTATCTGCAATCTTAACGTGCTGGGTGGAGAGAAGAAATTCCATGAAAGGTGAGTTAATCCAACCCCTCCCACAGCCAGATGCTCTGAAGTGCAGCTCTGAACAGCCCATGGGCACTGGGGGGGATTTAAAGATCTCCGTGGACCAAGATCTGGTGGTTTCTTTGTTCTGAAAATCCCACCTCACCGCAGCTCTTGTCCCAGTCAAACCAGTACAAAACCCACAGCACGCAGCAAAGGGAACCTTCAGGAGCGCTCTGGGAACCCAGCCCTTCCTCCCCAGAACCATTCCTACCTGTAATGACATTTCTATCAGCATCAGAAGCTTCTTGATTCCAATCCAGACGGGCTTCCCTTTGACGTTCTGTGCGATCGTGCTGCGCTCCTTGTCTTTGAAGTTACCCAGGAGCTGGGGGAGAAATCATTTTAAAAAATCAACAGCAGGAGACTGACTGTAAGAAAAATGGTACCTACCTGGGGAGAAAGGGAATGGGAAGCTAGAAGGATTTATTAGCTGAGAAGGGAAATTTGTTGCAATGTGTCTTAGATCAGGCAAAATGCAAATAAACAGTTCTTTAATTCCGTAATGGTTTTTTCCATAAAATCCCTCATCCAACAGTTACTGCTGTGCTTTCGTGCTGCACTCCAGGTTTTCTCCAGAGCAGGGTCTACAAGGAAACAACAGCTCAAGCCACAGGAAGTGCCCAAAGCTGCTGCAGAAGTGGCTGCGTCTCCCAGGCTTTGGAGACACCAACCCTGGGACACATTTGCCAATGGCACTGAGGATTTGCCTGTTCAGCCTTCAGTACTCACTGCAAATCCCTACCAGGGCACAGAAGGRGCCACTAAAGGCAGGAATTCATCAGGAATTTATCATTTCAGCCCAAACACCTTCAGTCCACGCTATTCCAACTGAACAGACCTCCTGGCACGTTCAGTTGGTGTCCCAATTATATTCATTACCCACATCCACACCCTTGGAATGTTTCAATCCACACCACAAACCTTTCCCCTGACCTGCTGTTCTCTAATTTGGCTTCATTTTAATTCATGAAAAAGCAAATTGAAAAGCCTGAGAACTGCTACGTTATGGCACAATGCCAAGTGGGATGGTGTTACCAGACAGAGCCACTGCAAAATCTCTGATTTTCACCCAATTTTGAGTCTTTTGTCATCSTTGAACTTCTCCTCACCTCCAAAGCCTCCATGAGCTGCTCCCCTGTGGCGATGTTGGGCACGTGGATGGTGGTGCTGAAGGCATTCAGCATCTCCATCTCCTGCAGGACGTCCTTGCGGCTCGTGGTGCCGATGATCAGCAGCTTGCGGCCCTGCCAGGTGAGGGACAAGAGTCAGGAAAGGAAAAAAGACAGAGAACCAGCCTGGGGAGGGCTCAGCTAACTGCAAATGATGAATGRGAAATGGCCATTTACAAACCCACTTCAAACAGAGTTAATGGGATTAAATCTGTCAGTAATTGAAGCAGTCAGGAGCACAGGGGATTCCTGCACACACAGAAACAGCTCTGAGGTCCTGGGAGCACTGAGGAAAAGCCCTGGAATCAGTCCATGGGGGAATTCTGGGGGAACACCAGCACAGTCACACTCAGTGTGGGACCACTGGGGTAATTTTAAAATGAGGAAAGAGTGAAACAGGACCATCATTCTGCCATGGGAGCCCAGAAGCTCCTTCCTGTTTCAAATGTAACTTCAAATCCATCATATCTGAGCTGGGGCTCTTCAGCCTGGGGAAGAGAAGCTCCAGGGAGAGCTCAGAGCCCCTTCCAGTGCCTAAAGGGGCTCCAGGAGAGCTGGAGAGGGACTGGAGACAAGGGGGAATGGATTCCCACTGACAGAGGATAGATAGGTTAGATTGGATATTGGGATGAAATTAGATTGGGTTAGATTGGATATTGGGATGAAATTCTTCCCTGTGAGGGTCGGGAGGCCCTGGCACAGGGTGCCCAGAGCAGCTGTGGCTGCCCCTGGATCCCTGGCAGTGTCCAAGGCCAGGTTGGATGGGGTTTGGAGCAGCCTGGGATGGTGGAAGGTGTCCCTGCCCATGGCAGGGGTGGCACTGGATGGACTTTAAGGTCCTTCCAACCCAAATCATTCCCTGTTTCTCTGATTCTGTTCAGTTGGAGAAGCCAGAGAAAGCACTCGGGATGGTCACAAATAGGGAATAACTTCCCCAAACAGATCCTTGGTGAAAACAGAGAGGTTTATAAAATCATAGGCAGTATAGAGGAGATGAGGAGAAAACTGCTGCTTGGCATTATAAAAACCAGGGAGCATAAAATGGAATTATCAAACATCAGATAAACGGAACCAAAGGGGGTTCACTCCCACCAACAGCTCAGCTGGACTCAGGCAAGCACAGCACCAAGAATGGAAAGGCTTAACAAGGTTGAAAAGCACAAGGCTGAGCTCCCAGAGGGCAGATCCATCAGCAATTTTTAGATATCTCTGTTAAAATCCATTCCCAGGTCCCTGAACTGCTGACGTGCTTGGGAGCTCCTGAGAACAGATGGCCACTCTGCGAAAGCACTTCTAATTTTTAACAGCTCCACCCAAAATTTCCTGATTTTTCCCTGCTTTCCTCAGAAGCAGCCACACCTTCAGCTCCCTGCCTTTAACCCTGACCCTTCCTGGCAGCAGCCAGTGACCCCCCAGCAGTGCCAGGGCAGGGGTCCCAAACCCAAACTCAGCAAACCAGGGAACCCCCAGGGCAGCGCTGTTTGCCCTGGAATGATCAAGGCAGCAGGAAAAGCCATCAAGGCAAACTGAAAAGCTGCTCCCAGCCCAGCTCCTCTGGCCTGGCACACACCACAGGACATCCCAGGSTTTATTCCTGTGATTCCCAGGATCCCAGAGGGGGTCAGGCTGCAGGGCAACTCCCTGCTCCAGCAAGGTGATCCCAGAGCATGGGGCACGGRGCTCCAGGTCCTGCCCCATTTCCAGAAATATTCAGAATTTTCTGATCCTTCATTTCTACAGCAGCCTCAGTGAAGGCAATGTGCTCATCCCACAGAAAATCAGGATTCAAGCTGAACTTCCAAAAACCAGGCACAGCACGTGAGTGCTGAGCAAGGAAGGAGGAGCAGCTCAAGCTGATTCGGTGCCAGATCCACGAGCAGGGCAGTTCTAGCACCAGCTCTTCCATCACCAGAGATCAGACACAGGCACAGCCTCAGAYCTGGGTTCATCCTGTCCATTTTTAGGCCAAGTGCCCCAATTTGGAGCAAGAGATCCCTCTGTGCTGCCAGAGGTGTGTGTGTCCTGCCCTGCTGCCTTCTAGAAGGGGGTGACYCCAGAGCTGACCCCCCAGAATTGAAGGAAATTGTCAACGCAGAAATGTGGCACTCAATAAACTCTTCTAACCAATTAAATTTTCCAGCATCAGGACATGGATTCCTCAACCCAGCACTCTGTTCCCAACAGGYCCCACCTCACTGCCCAGGGGGAACTGGAACAAGGCACAGACCCTGCTGGGAGCAACTGGAGCCTCAGCACAGCAGTGGAGTCTCCAATTTTGGAATTTCAGCAAATCCAGTCAGCCCTGAGCTCTGCTGGAACCAGACACTGGTGACACTGAGGTGGCTCTGTCACCCACCAGCTGCTCACTGTGTTCAGGACCCTTTATCCTCATGTTTGGGGTCTTGGGAGTTCCTTACATGTGAAGGGAGAAAACATAATTCCCTAGGTTCATCCATATAAAGTTAACATCAAAGGGGACTGGAATTGCTTCCAGTTCACACTGAGCGAGCTGGAATCAGGAATGCATCTGGGATTGCAGCAAAAAGGGAAATTATTCCCTTCCATAAATTGGCAAAAGCCTCCAGTGCCCCAGAGAGAGAAGGGGCTGGGGGCTCTGAGGGCAGGGAAGGGCATCCCCAGGAGTGGGTGTCCCTTGGAGAAGAAAGGTTGAGGAGCAGGGAAAGACATCCCCAGGTACAAATCTCACTYTGAAAGTGGSACTGGGACCTGGAGAGCAGTGGAAGGGCATCTCCAGGAGCGGGTGTCCCTTGGATGGAAGGGCTGGGGAGCAGGGAAGGACATCCCCAGGAGTGGGTGTCACTTGGAGAGAAGGGGTTGGGTGTCCTGGGAGCAGGGAAAGGGCACCCCCAGGTACAAATCTCACTTTGAAAGTGGGACTGGGGACCTGGAGGGAAGAGGTAGGACACCCCCAGGAGTGGTAATGCCTTCAAGAAGAAGGGCTGGATGTCCTGGGTGCTGTGAAAGGCCATCCCCAGGAGCAGGTGTCCCTTGGAGGGAAGGGCTGGGTGCTCTGGGTGCAGGGAAGGGCAGTGCCACATACAAATCACACTTTTAAAATGGAGCTGGAGACTTGGAGAGCAGGGAAGGRCAGCCCCMGGAGTGGGTGTCCCTTGGAGGGAAGGGCTGGGGAGCAGTGAAAGGYCATCCCCAGGAGTGGGCGTTCCTCCAGGAGCACCTCCATCGGGSCAGCCATGCCCAGCCCCTGCTCCCTCTGYRCTGGGGATGCTGAGGGTCCTTTCCTTCCCCCGGGGATGCTGCGGGTCCTTCCCTCCCCATCCCACCCCGAGATGCTGAGGRTCCTTCTGCCTGAGGATTCTGTGGGTCCTCCCCTTCCCCCTGGGATGCTGCAAGTCCCTCCCTCCCGGGGATGCTATGGGTCCCTCCCAGGGATGCTGTGGGTCCTCCTCTCCCCACCCCAGGATGCTGAGGGTCCTTCTGCTYGGGGATGCTCTGGGTCCTTCTCTCCCCATCTCTCCCGGGGATGCTGCAGAGCCTTCCCTCCCCTCCCCGGGATACTGTGGGTCCTTCCCTCCCGCCCGGGGATGCTGAAGGTCCTTCTGCCTAAGGATGCTCCAGGTCCTTCCCTCCCCCCAGGGATACTGTGGGTCCTTCCCTCCCACCCGAGGACGCTGAGAGTCCTTCTGCCTGAAGATTCTGCGGGTCCTTCCCTCCCCTCCCCGGGATGCTGTGGGTCCTTCCCTCCCACCCGGGGATGCTGCGGGTCCCTCCCCCCAGGGATGCTGCAGGTCCCTGCACCCGAGCCGGTTGTTGGAAAGCAGCAGCGAAGCTGCAGGGAAGCACGTGTGAAGCTCGGCGGGGCCGGCAGCGGCTCCAGGCCCCGTGTGACCGTGCATGTAGATGAAGCAGCCCCAGCTCCGGGAGCTGCCGCTGCCCCGTTCTCAGGGAAGCCCTTTTCTCCCGCTCGGCTCCCCGCTGAGCCAGCCCTTTTCAGCCTTTCCATCCCCCAGTCCCTGCTCCCGCAGCACACAGGCAAACTCGATTGAATTAAAGACCCAAGAGAACATGGTTTGTTTTCTTCCCTTCAAGGCACTGCAGAAAAGGTTTCTAATTGGTTTAAAAAAAGATGCTGAACAAAATGCAATGGTTTTCAGTCCTCTTGAAGCAGCAGTCACAGATAGCTCTGTTTACCACTGCTGAGTGGAACCACAAGCAGGAGCTGTGACTGGCAATTTAAAGCAAGCTCAGAGAGGTTTCTGGTTTATTTAAAGTCTAAAGTGTTTACTCTCAAAAGAAAACCAGAACTTTCGAGTGTTTGCCCTTCCCACAGCACGTTCCAACAATCCAGCCTCCCCTGGAAGAGGGGAGCCTGGGAGCAGCTTTCCCACACCAACTCAACACAGACAYGCACCTCGATGCATAATTAATAACATCTCATCCCAGAAACGCTGCTCTGCCACGCAGGGATTGCAGGAAGCTGCCTGCACATCAAGGACATCCCTGCAAGGGGTGTGACACCGCAGGGAATTCACAATCTGGGCCACAGYGAAGGGAGCAGCCAGGCTGGATCCTCTGCTCCCACCGCTCCCACAGTCCTGGTGCTGGGCTGGAAAGGTCTGGAGAGAGACCCAGGACAGGAATGTAACAGTGACAGGACACAGGGAATGGCTTCCCACTGCCAGAGGGCAGGGATGGATGGGATAYTGGGATGAAATTCTTCCCTGGGAGGGTGGTGATTCCCTGGCACAGGGTGYCCAGAGMAGCTGTGGCTGYYCCTGGATCCCTGGCAGTGCCCAAGGCCAGGYTGGACAGGGCTTGGAGCACCCTGGGACAGTGGAAGGTGTYYCTGCCCAWTCAGGATGGACTTTAAGWTCCCTTCCAACCYGAACCCATTCCATGAKCCTTTGAAAGCAGCTCARAATTTTGAGTGGAACACTAAAGCAYAGGRGAACAGATATTTCCTSCCCAGCACCCTGCCAAGAATTCCTCTCAGCACAGGGATGTCCAGGACACCYCACTTTTCCCAGGAATGATCCCAGTCCACAGAAACCCGTGGTGCTCTGACCCCGTAGAGCAGATCAGTACCTCTGCTGCTGCTCGTGCATTCAGAGCCTGGATCTGCACCTCAGATTGCAGCAACCCCCTGAAACCAGCCCTGCCCTCCCAACAAACTGCTCCTCAAGGGAACCTCAGATCTCAGAGGTGACCTGGGAGGGGCTGATTAACCCTCAGGATTGACCCCATCGTGGGTCCTCACTCAAGCTCAAAAACCCCAAGAGTGTCTGTGCCCAAATCCAACCTTCCTCACAGTAAATGCTCACTCAGAAAAGGCATCTTCCTGCACAGCTCTGYTTCTTGCACACAGCTTTGGTATTTTAAATGCAAAAGATCCCCACATGCCCTGGCTATCCCAGGGAATTCACCACAAACAAACATATCAGGAAGAACTCTGTCCTGCCCAAAGCTCTCCCCATGTTCTGATTCCCACAGAGCCAACACCAGACACTCAGAAAGAAAAGAAAAAAAAAATAAAAAAAAACACACATGATCAATTAGTGACATTTCCTCAGCAAACTCACTCTCTACCCTCCAACAATTTATGGCTTAAGTCACCATAATATTGGCTGTCAAGACAGTCTCCCAGCCCCAAGGGCATCTCAAACCCTGCCGAGCRCAAATCTCCACAACAAGCACAAACTTGGCAAATATCTGTGAGCTCCAGCCCCGTGTCTTGCTCTTGGGAGCCCCAGGTATCACCCAAAGTGCAGCCCAGCAGCAGCACCCATTCAGGATGCAATGGGCAAACGSACAATTTAATATTTTAAGCTCCTTTGAAAACCGAACCAAATCAAAGTTTGATTCCATTTCAAATTCAAAGTTCAAYAGAACCAAAGTTCTATTTTCCCTGTTGATTTATGGGAACAAGCAGGTCCTGGCACCGTGGAGCAGCCTGCAGTAGAATTTTTGGTCAGTGATTGCAGAGGGTGATGTGAGCAGGAATGGCTGAGCTGCTCTGCTCCAAGCATGTGAGCAAACTTGGATCCTGTCGTGTTCCAGACTTCACATGGCCTAGAAAGCTCACTGGGAAAATCTTTGTTCTGCCAGGCTGACAGTCACACAGGGAACTCAGGGCCTGTGGCATTACAATTGAGTTCAAAGTGCTGCATTTGAAAGGTCTTTTCACCAAAGCCTCTCATGAAAACAACACTCACGCACACGCTGCCACGCCACGATATTAAACATGACAAAAAAATCAGACTGAGCCTCTCTGCTTTTTCCTGATAGCAATTTTCAAGGTGTTGCTGTCGTGATGTTATTTATTCATKCAGATACTCTCACATACAGAGCAGGGAAATGGCAAACAAGGAAGGAGGCCCTGCCTGCCTCGCCTCGCTCAGCACGAGCTGCAGAACCCACAGCACTCGTGATGCTCTTAAATCTCACCACAAAGTGCAAACAGACAGGATCAGCACGAGAGGCAAGAGCAGATCTAAAGGAGTTTGCAATTTCCTTGTGCTATAAACATTTTGCTAAACTTCAGTGGTTTCCCCCCTAAGTTACTATTGCTCTTTTAAAGATGTATTTCACAGGGTGTATTTTTGTACCTGGGCTTTATAAAAGGTGAGCTCTGCTGAGCTTGCTGGTTGCCATACCAGTCATTTTGCTGCCTGGATAACCTTGTTTGACTTTTGGGTTTTTTCTTCAACTTTACTTCAGTGTTCCAGRCAGGTTCCAGGCCTTTTGTTTCAGTTGTTTGGTGTTATAAAGGGTGAGCTCTCTTGTAGCTGGGTGGCTCTAGGGCCTCACCAGAGAAAGTGTGAAAACACAAGACCTTTCCTTAATTATCCATGATCCATGGATAATATCCATGATCTGGCAGTGATTTGAGATCACAGAACGATCATAACAGGTTCCTGTGGTGATGTTATTAATTCATGCAGATACTGTCACACACAGAGCAGGGAAATGGCAAACAAGAAAGGCCCTGCCTGCCTCACCTCGCTCAGCACGAGCTGCAGAACCCGCAGCACTCGTGATGCTCTTAAATCTCACCACAAAGTGCAAACAGGCAGGATCAGCACAGGAGTCAAGATCTGAAGCTTCCCCCAGCTGCTGTAATTAACACCTGATCGTTTTGAGTTAAGAACAAATTAAACCCCTGACAAGCACAATCAGAAATTAGACAGAAATTGATTCATAAATAAATAGAGAGGGAGCACAGGGCTAAGCCAGGGCTGAGTCTGGCCTGAACAGCTCCTCAGAGGGCAGGCAGCTGGCCCAGGCCAGCTCTACAGCGTGGAGGTTAAACTGCTTTCCTTAGGCAGTATTTTTAGGACTAAGTGCAGAAGATTCAGCCCCAAGTAATGAGATATTTCAAGTTAAATCCCTTGTGGTTATCCCCGAATTGTCCCAGAGGATGAAGAGCAGCAGGCTGGGATCAGCTCAGAGACAAAGGCACTGACAGCTCCTGCTGCCCCCATTCCTGCACAACATCCCTGCCTTACCTGAGGTGGGGCTTTCTTCAGCAGCACCAGGAGCGCTTGCAACACCAGATTGGAGAACCGAGGTCCAATTGGGACATAATCTGAAAGSAAAATTGCATTTTACTGCCCACATTTAAGCTGTTCCGCTGCATCAAAACCAGTTCAATGCTCCTGTAGTAAATGGTTCCAGATAAYTTCCAGTTTGCAATGTTTCAACATGGCAAAGACATCAATATTTGTGCAGCAGCCAGCACAGCTCTCCCTCCTCCTGACTCACCTAAAAGCCGCTCGATGTCGTCCACAACAACACAGCTGAGCTGGGACTTGTAGGCATCATCAAAGATCTGAAAAACAGTGAAATGGCTCAGTTTTAGAGCTCAGCCTTAGAGCCACAACTGGGCCTGCTGGTGTGGGTCCAGCTGAGCACTGCAGCACTGAGAGGGATAAAGTGAGAATGGAGCAGGTAGGTACTGAGAGATCAGGCTCCCTGCTGCCAACAAAGCACTGCCAGCTCCACAAATTCCATTTATTTGTTCATTTATCCCCACCCTGGGCTGCCCTGAGGTTCACTGTGAGACAGAGATGAACCAGCACCATTGCTCTGGGTTTGGAGCTGGGGCAGCAATGGTAATGTAACACACACACACACACAGAACCCCCACCACTGTGTCAGCTGTGAGACTTTTCTCCTCTTTCTGTGCCAGGAGAGCACCCTGCAGGGACAAAGGACTGCCTGGGTCTGGGTGGTGGCTCCTGGAGCAGCAGCCAGAGCCCTGCACAGCTCTGGTGCGAGCAGAGGCAGCACTAAGGACAGCAGTGCTGCTGCAGCCCTGCAACCAGCAAACCCCAACCCCAGTGAATCCTAAAGATTCATTTAGGAATCTGTCACAAACTGAGCCCCAGTTATGAGCACATTGTTTGTTCCAAGCACCTTCCTTCCCTCAGAAACTCTACAGCCCTGCACCAAACTGCTCAGAGCAATGTGCCACTTACTCCAGTCAGCATCATTCCTACTGAGGAGTAAGGGCTGGGCTGCTTCAGGACATGAAAATGTTCAACTTCTCCACATTCTCCTGCTCCCCAGGTTGTTAAAGCCCTTGTTGAACTGCAGACCCCCCTCAGAGCTCTTCCTGCCTTCCCTTAGGCAGGGTCTGGTCTCTCCTAGTGCAGCCCTAAGCCCGTCCTGCCTGCACCTTCACAGGCAGAGCTGCTCACCCCAGACCTGCTCTGTCCCACTGTGTGCCAGGGTCACACCCCACACCCAAACGGGATGGAGCCCTGAAACCTTCCCTGAGTCACTCAGGGCCACAAAAACACTGTGACAAGAGTCTGGAGTGACAGGACAACAGAATGGCTTCAAGCTGGCAGAGGGCAGGGTGAGATGGGCTATTGGGAAGGAATTCCTCCTCCCTGGGAGGGTGGGCAGGCCCTGGCACAGGGTGCCCAGAGAAGCTGTGGCTGCCCCTGGATCCCTGGAATGCCCAAAGCCAAGCTGGACAGGGCTTGGAGCACCCTGGAATGGTGGAAGGTCTCCCTGCCCATGGCAAGGGTGGTGCTGGATGGGCTGTAAGGTCCTTCCAACCCAAACCATTCCACAATTCTATGATAACTCAACTTTCTAAATAAACACATGCAGGAATTCCAGACCTAGAGAGAGCAGAAAACAGCATCCCAAGGATAATTCACCTTTCCCTTCACAAGAGAACTCAGTACTAGGCTGTCACTAGGCACAGACAGGACTCACACTTACCTTCTTCATGGCCTGGCACTTGGCTGTTTCAGAAAATCCGATCATCTTATCAGGGGAACAGATCTTGATGAAGGGGAAGTTGGACTCTTCTGCTATTTTCGCYGCTAAAGCAGTCTTCCCACTGTGGGGGGGACCTGAGGCAAAGAACAAGGAATAAATCAGGGAGAAAACAGCTCTGACAATGCTCAGATGATACYGAAAGTTTAGTTTTAGAATCTAATCATTTKAGAATCCCATCCAGAGGTGTGTGCRGTGTGAAAGGAGCTTTTTCCTGGCTTGCAGGAAGAACACACTGGTGCAACCCAACCAAYCCTCCACATGCAGGCAATTAATCAATGGAACTGCTTGAAAACACACAGAATGATMTGCCATGACATTGCCATGACAAAAAAAGGACATTGCACATTCTGCAGGAGCAGCCACTATACCAAAATGAGTTTGTCTGTTGGAAAAACMTCTCGATCTGATGGCCTTTCTCAGTGTGATCTCTGCTGGCTCTTTGGCAAACAAGTCAGCAGCAGGAGTGCCAGGAAAACACTGACAAAGACTGAATTCACACCAGGATAATTTGGAGACCGAGGACACACCTGAATCCATGTACCCAACATGGATCAGTTCACAGCAACAGAAGGAATTGCTAGGCACTGACACAGGGAATAACTCAGGGTTAACTCCACAGCTACAGTGGTAACCCAYCTTTTTGGACTTCAGGACAAAAAAAGGGAGAACTAAATAACAAATTCTACTCCAAAATAAAAAAAAGTCTACTCTAATATAATAAAATTCTACTCCAAGATCACAAAATTTGACTCCAATATAACAAATTTTACTCCAATATAACAAATTTTACTCCAATATAAAAAAAATCTAGTCCAATATAAAAAATTGTATTCCAATATAATAAAATTCTACTGCAGTATAACAAATCCTACTCCAACAAATTCTACTCCAATATAAAAATTCTACACCAATATAACAAAATTCTACTCCAATATAATGAAATTCTACTCCAATGTAACAAATTCTACTCCAATATCAAAAATTCTACTCCAATATAATGAATTTTACTCCAATATAAAAAAATCTAGTCCAATATAAAAAATCCTACTCCAATATCACAAATTTTACTCCAAGATCACAAAATTCTATTCCAATATAACAAATTTTACTCCAATATAAAACATCCTACTCCAATATAAAAAAATCTACTCCAATGTAACAAAATTCTACTCCAATATAACAAAATTCTACTCCAATATAAACAATTCTACTCCAATATAACAAAATTCTACTCCAATCTAACAAATTTTACTCCAATATAAAACATCCTACTCCAATATAAAAATATCTACTCCAATATAACAAAATTCTACTCCAATATAACAAAATTCTACTCCAATATAACAAAATTCTACTCCAATACCTGTAACACAGCCACTGGAACCAGTTTCCAATATCTGGAAACTCTCCTTAGCCAGTAACAGCCTGGATAGAGGGAATTGCACCTCTCATGACAGAGACACCTCAATGTGGCTGTTTGAACTCAGCTAATTGCACTGCTGAGCTCTGCAGTGWCTTCAAAGAGAATTTAGACAACTGACTCAGCTGGAGACACCTTCACTGTAAGACAGCCCAATTCAGGTTGTTAATTGGGTACATTTTGCTTGTTCACTGGGTTCACTGGGTCCCTTCTGCCTCGCTCCAAGCACAGCATTCCCTCTGCCTGGGGACACAGCTTTAATACCCAAAGCAATTTCCCCCGAGCAAACCGAAAGAGGCCGATTCCATTTCTCCCCATTTGTGTATGTTTCCCACAGCTGCAGGGTGGCAGAGGTGACAGGAACAGTCCCCAGAAAGGCTTTTCCTACGTGTTTTGCCCCAGCTGTACCTTCCAGCAGGACGCTGACCAGGGGAGTGCGGTCGCTGTTCTTGGTCTGCTGGACCAGCAGCTCCCCATCATCCAACACCCTCGTYACTGGGTCACCCCACTTAATGATCCCGTTCATGATGTAGCTGGCATAGTCTTCCTGGTTGGTTCCAAATGCCTGYAGAGGAGAAGGAATGCTTCTTTTACCAAAAAAAAGTTCTCATCCCATCAGAAAAACCATGAAACAATTAAAGAAAACAAGCAGGAGCGAGGTTCTGGAGGATGCTGAAGTGAGCCAGTCGCACCCACTGGTGACTCAGAGCATTCCAGCTCAGAGGGCTGAACACAGGGGGAGAGCAGGCACGTTCAGAAACATCTCCTACACCCACACAACCAGTTCCAGTCAGTGCAAGTTGCCAGTGGGCTCTGACTCCACACTGTGGAGACGATTCTCAAAAATTGTCTTAAACCTCCTCCTCCAGCCCATGGTAATGGAACTGAAGTGGCCCAAAACGGAGAGATGTGCTGAGAAGAGGGAAACCCCAGTCGTTCTTTATCTTTATCTTTATCTTTATCTTTATCTTTA